CCCAGAACTCGGGAGACTGAGGCAGAAGGAGCCACCACGAGTTCTGGTGACTTTGTGACTTAGCAGAACCCTGTCTTGAAATAAAAACTTTTGTAAAGGGCTGGAGATGTAGCTTAGTGTGAAGGCTTCAATCCCTAGTACTGAATGAATGGATTAAACAATTAACTCTGTACGATAAATTCCACTACTTCCCGGGGTAAACAGGGGATTAAATGCAGCGAAAGTGAAGGCAAGGAAAAGGGGGTCATGTGAACGCTGGTGAGCTGAGAACCAGACCCCAGTGACGACAAGCCTTTCTTGATCTCAAACAAGAGTTGACGTGCAGGAAACACAGGCTTAATTAACATCACCACATCTTATTGTTCAAGCATGTTCAGAAATCCAAGTTACCCTTTCTTCCTGTTTCCCAGTCTGGGAAACATGGCCTCCATCACACTGCCCTGTTGCTCACATCTTTGCAAAACTCGGAGCTAAACAGAATCTACAGTGTTGGTCAGATATTCCCTTCTACCTGTGTCTCTTCCGGAGCTGCCGTCCCCAGCTCCCCTCCTGTCACCCCTATCACTCTGCTGTCTGTCTGTGGCTCTGCCTCCCCTTGTAGCCACCTTCACTGTCACAGTCAGTTTGGGCTCGGGCTCCTGTAAAAATCATGACAGACATGGTAACTAGAACAGCCACACACACACACACACACACTCATCCTCATGGTTCTGGAGGGCAGGAAGTCCCAGAGCAGTGTGCCAGCAGGTTGGGTGTCTAATGAGGATGTTTCCTGGTCTCATTATTTCCTTCTGTTACAGAGAGCAAGTAGAGGAGGGAGCCAGCCCTTCATTTCTGAGAATATTAATCCCATTATTAGGGCCACATCCCCATGCCACTCGCTAAAGGCATCACTGATCAGCACCATTACATTTGGTTATGGTTCCAAGTACACGTGGATGGGGGTGGGAGATGAACCCGTAGGCCATCACACGAGCCTCGGTAACACCCTTACGCAGTCCCACTGCTGCTCGAAGGTTGAGCTTTTATGGAACAGAACTCACTCCATTTCCTCTGTCTAGGCCTTCGGTCTTGAAAGACACAGAGGTAAGACTTTTTCCCTTCTAACAATTCCTCCAACAGCTCTAGTGCCAGGCATGCATCTTACCACTGGTCCGACCTTTAGATTAGATCTTCTATTGTCTTATAACAGGAGACTCATTTCCTGTGTACATACACCATTCCCCCAATCCGCTGGAAGATCCTCAAGGCTATGTTCAGAACAAGAGCATTCGCAAAGCTTGGGGTTAGAAAGATGGGATTTTAATAGCAGACTTCAAGATAGGGAGCAGATTTCTCTCAGCCGCAGTTTCTTACCAGTAAAATGTAAATAATATTTCTACATAGACATGTCAGAAGTTTGAATGAAATGAATGGAACATGCCTGGCGCTGAACACAGTTTCAAGCAGCAGGAATTGGTTTCATTCCTATAGAAACTCTTACCTCTTTGGAGCCCCTGCTCCTGGTGTAGCTTTTTACCCAACCAACATTCACAATCAACAGTAGCTGAGGTCTGCATCATGGCTGTCATGAAAGCATTTTATGCCTAGCTTTAATGCCAGGAAATCTCTAGTGGAGACCTAAAGAACACACATTTTTCTGATAACAAGAATCTTGCCCATGAACGGAACAGTAAGATAAACAAAACTTTCAAGATTTCCTTTATTCCCATAATCGGTTTATCTGAAGCAAGGGCTCCCACATGAGGGCAGGAGACAAGTTCGCTGTCAGGAGGACATTTGCAATGTCTGGAGACATTTTTGAATGTCACAACTGCGGGATGTTATTTTCACCAAGCAGGCAGAGGCCAGGGGTGTTGCTAAATACTTACAGTGGAAAGGACAGAGTTCCCCTCCCTGAAAATAGAATGACTTAGCCCAAAATATTTTTTAATGCCAATGATGAAAAATCTTAATCGAAAGACCCTTAACGCAGAAGGCAACCACCGTGGCTGAAATCTCTCCCATTTTAGAGCCCTGTGCTTTGGCAAGAGGGGATCAAGTGGCTGGAGGGGGTGGGGGGCAAGAAAGAGGAGTGCGGACTTTCTGGGCTGCAGGCGCCACTGCATCATTTCTGTTCCACGGAAGTGCTGGTGTGTGTGTGTGTGTGTGTGTGTGTGTGTGTGTGTGTGAACACAGTTGTCTTAAACAATCCATTTCCTCGCACACTTAAAGATAGAAACTACTGCAAATGGGAGAGTAGTGAACAAAACAGGTTTTAAATTCAAGCTGACATGGGTGACCGTAAGACTGATACAAAGAACGAAGTGTGAGCTTCCTAAACTGGCTCTCATGGTTCCCCTAAGAGACAACTGGGTTCGGAAGGCCAAATGTCTGCCACACTCTCACGCCCAGAGGCTGTGAAGACTCGCGGTGATGGCACCGGCTTCCTGTCTCGGAACTTTCCCACATCGGGTGCTTGGCTACGTTCTTCTCTAGAGTTAAGTGTAATCTAGTTGAATGTGATCTTTTTGTTGTTGTTGCTTTTCTTTTACTTTCTGTTTTAATTTCCCTCCCTCCCACGTTTCCTGTCTCACTTTCTTTCTTTTCTTCCTTCCTTTGTTACTTCTTTCCCTGCCTTATTCCTTCCTTTCCTAACAACGTGGAGCAAAGATCTGTTTCAGTTGCCTTCTGGCCCTCAGGGTCCACTTGGACTCCAGAAAAAATAAAATAAAATCTTTCTTTTATGACATCATGCTGCCACCTTGTGGTAAGATTAAGGTATTAGCGAGTCAAAAAATGAGTTCAGATTTACTGAAATTAAAAAAAAAAATGCAAAGCCCAGCCTAGTATTTGGGCCTCAGTTAATTAAGAGACACCAGGGGCTGGGGATTTAGCTCAGCAGCATAAGTGCCTGCCTTGCAAGCAGGCAGTTGTGAGTTTGATCCCTGGTACTGGTAAAAACAAAAAAATAAAAAAAAAAAGAGAGAGACACCAGCTTGTTCCATAGTTTTAAGTTCCATAGTCACATCTACCCTTTTCCTTTCCCAGAATATATATATATATATATATATATATATATATATATATATTCAAGCAAATATATATGTATTCTTTTTGAGACAAGATCTCACTAGGTAGTGTAGATTGGCCTTAAACTCACAGCAATTCTCCTGCCTCAGTCTCCCAAGTCTTGAGATTATAGGTATGGACCCCCAACCCCCACTCAAGCAAGAGACATACTTTATTTCTAAACTGAGTGCAGACAGTTGGCGCATAGAACAAACCTTTCATATCTGTCTGCGGCCAAGGAACCTCTCAGGTTTCCAAATTCAGAATTATTCACTCTCAAGTCACTGCGGTAGTTTCAAGGTCTACTGTGTTCACAGAAAGGAATCGCCTGGTTAAACTTAAGGCTGATGTAACCAAAAGTGAAATACTTTTCTAAAGCTGCAAAAAGGCAGAGCGATATTTTTTAACTTTAAAATGTTTGTGCATCCGGGACTCCAAGCCTTCCTGGCTTTGTGTCAGGCCAGGGCTCTGCGGGGAAGCCGCGGCCCCAGCCCCTAGAGTGATGTTTCTCGAGGTAAAAATAATTTTCACTCCATGAGACAACGTTTGTCTACACTCTTCTCATAGCAGACGAGTTTTCTCATAAAACACAAAAGCAGGAGCTTTCTAAGGTCTCTGCCCTTCTGCTAATGCTGGAACTCAAAGTGAGCGGGTCCGAGATCCAATTTGTGATTCATTTCCTTCCACCGATGCGCCACAATCACTGTGCGCACACACGCACACACACACACACACACACACACACACACACGCAAACAAGCACATCAGACAGCGCCCCCCTCCCCAACCCCTAAGCAAGGTCCCCTCCTGTGTCCTCCCCACCCCGCTGCTGTCGCCGGGACCATCCCCCACCTTGATCTGATCCAGTCTAAGGAAGGAGCCTCCTGGCCACAACATGGTCTCTACCCTGGAGCTATAACTGCTCCTTTTAAATACAGATCAGATCAAATTAGTATCCTTAAAGTCCTCCATTGTGCTTAGGTTACCGTGGGAAATCCCAGACCCGGGTCCCTGTCTGCTCCCTGATTGCCCCTGAGTATCTGCCCGCTTCAGCTTCCTCGAAGCCGTGTCTCTCCAGAGCCCCATATGTCTGTTGGCTCCTTTGGTTCTGTTTTTGTAACAAGCCCATCATTTCTTCTTCAACCACAGTCTTCCCTGTTGTGGGCTGTGAACACTGCTTGCTATTGATTTAATTCGCAGGAAGGCTTATTTAGCTCACTGCTGACTGCAGTTGGGAGCAACAGAGAGGGAAGACAGAGCCCTGACCAACCTGGGGACCGGGCCGAGGCTTGTTAACAGGAGCCCCCAAAATGAGAACCCAGCGACTCCAACAGCCGAATCCAACGACCCTCTGGGGTGCGAGGAGAAGGGGCAGAGACGGGGACACTGCCTGTGTGTGTGCAGGGTTCACAGAGCTGAAGCGCGCACTGCTGTCTCCCTCTGTGGTGCGTCTTTTCTCTGGGTTCTCAGCCTCTTTACCTGGGCGCCCTAAGCCGCTCCATCCTGATTTTGTGGTTTTATGACACTGTATGGTAGCTTCTGTCATCACTGGAGACAGGAAAGGAAAGAAACTGATGCAGAGAAGAGGACTTTGTGATTCTGAGGTGTGAACAAACGCGACCAGGGTTGAGTAACCAGCGAGCTGTGGCGGCTAAGGTCCTGGGGCAGCGATCTTGATCCCCAGGGAGCAAGACAGGGATAGGAGGTGGGGGCAGTGCATCCCGGCCAGCCCCGTCCATCCTGCTCCTGGTGAGTTCCACCAGGGGAGCTCACTGAAGGCGGCCCTGTCCATCCCCTTCACAGGGACAGTGCACCCCTGCAGCAGCCCTGAGCTGACCACCGCCGAGGGCTGCCAGGAACCCATGTCCGGGTTCGTCACCTCTGTTAGTCACTCCTGGGCATGTGTACTAACGATAAGAAATCCATCGTTTCAAACCAAAGGACCCAAAGAGTTATCTTTATGCTACTAGAAAGGTAGTGAGCTTGGGAGGGGAAAGGCGCCCAGGCCCAGGGGACAGGAAAGGTGGGACCAGCTGGCTCCCACATGCTGGCGTAGGGGAGTGAAGGAGCAGAGGGGCGTGCCTGAGAAGAGGTTGTGGACTGCAGACGAAGCAGAAAAGCCAGTCAGCTATCAGACGGCTGCAGAGCTGCAGAGGGAGGGCACCATGCAGGCAACCTGCTTGCATGAACACTGTCCTGGCTGAGGCTCAGTCCAGGCTGACCTGCATGGTGGCCTGAGGCATCTGATGCATCTGCAGAAACCTGTCCTTGTTCCTCTTCCCCAAAGCTGAGGATGGGTGGCCACCAGGCTGAGCGGCTGGCAAAGGTGAGTCAGAGCCGCCACTTCCTGTGCGCATCTTGCCAATCACACGGTTTTTGCTGTCACCACAAGCTGACAACTCCTCCTGCTGAGCTCTCCATGCCGAGGTCCTGACTCCTGGATCTGTCTCTGGGCACCTGAGAGACACAAAGTGTGACCTCACAAACATAGGCCTAGCTCTTCCATTTAGTAGGCAAAGCTATAAAAACAAAGAGTTGTCACAGTCAGGTTCATGCCCCGCCTTACAAAAACCTCCTTCGAGACTCTGGCTGGCACTGGGGGCCCTGGATTTCAGCAGGGTCCCCTGAAACTCCAGAACGGATAAGGGGGTCTCAGTGCTAAACTGTTGTGCACAGGGTGTGATTGGTGCCTGGCACCTGCTGTCCCCTGGCAGTCTGGGCAGGGCTGCTGCGTGATCCCCACCAGAGAGCACCTGCCCGCGGCTGTCCACTCCCTGACACCACCGCAGCTGAAGGGATCCAGCGCGCCTGTGGGCCACACAGGGCAGCACTCACCCAGCAGGCGCCGGCTTCTCCCGGGCTTTGCTCCGTGCGCCTTCCCATTGCTCATTTCCCTCTGGGCCCTTTGCCCATGATAAATCCTGGCCACGCACACAACTTCGGTCCGTCTTGTGAGTCAGCCCAACAAAGGACGAACTTGAGTGGCTTCAGGGTTGCCGAGGATCATACTTCTGAGCCAGGTCACTTCGTCTGTCCACGCCTTGATTTCTTCCTCTGTAGAGGAAGAAATAACGTCTCCAATTCACAGGGCTGTTGTGAAGTTTAATTAGCTACTGCATGTAAAAAACTTAATGCAGGGCCTGGCTCCTAGTAAATACCCAATAAATACCACAGGCTTACACAGTGAGATAACCCAGACCCTGGGGGCACATCCTGGGCACCCCTGACATTTTGGTTTTACTATGTGACACTTTTGTTACCTATTACTTGGGAGTCTACATATAGATACATTCACCTAGGCAGATGTGATGCACACCTGCTCTTGGGAGGCTGAGGCAGGAGGGGCACCATGAGCTCAAAGTCAGTATCGCTACATAGTGACTTCAAGGTCATCTTGAACTACATAGCGAGACCCTGTCTCTAGAACATTAAAAATGAATAAATACATGTACTTGTCTGAGATGATCTAGGAAGCTATGTAGTAATTTATCTATAGAAAAAAAATGATTAGAAGGTCATTATTTGGTTTGCTTTCCTGAACATAAATATACGACACTTTCAGCCTGTTAGGTTATAACATGGGACAATATATCTTGTCACCTATGACCTATGGCATTTCTATTGGTGGTGTGTGCAGCTAGTTCTTGAGAGGTCCTACTCGTACAACACAGTGTACACACAGCATCACCTAGTACGCGTTTGCGAAGGCCAGTCTGCAAAGCCCTGTAAAGGCATGTTATTGCAGAGAAAACACATTTTATCTTGCTTCTGTGTGTGTGTTTGGTGGTACCAGGGAGTCGAGCTGAAGGCCTCACACATGTTAGACCAGGGCCCCACACCTGAGCTCCATCGCAGGCCCCACTCAGCGATTTAGACAGTAACATTCATTGGGCATAGGTGCCACCTGGCTGCCACTATCTGCAGCCGCCAGGCAGCTTCCTCTAGACTTTAGGAAATTCTAGGAGGACTTCCGGCCCATTTCTTATTATTGAGACAAGGAGTGAGGGATAGAGAGAGGCAGAGACAGGGAGAGAGACAGAGAGATGACAGTCCACACGGCCCATCTTCTTGCCTCTCTGCAAAGCACCTGAGAGCTGCACTCTGGACCTGGCCCTCCCGTTGCCCCTCAGCAGAAGCCCTACAAATAGCTCATTTGTCCCTCCTCTCGGACAAGGAATACCTATTTATGAAGTCCACTTCCTCGGGGCTCTCCCTGTGCACCAAGGCTCGGTGCACAGACCCGGTGCTGGGACATCAGCCACACAGGACAGACAGGGTGCAGAACCCCGTTGGTGTGGAAGCCTTGCGGTTCCCCTATGGCCAGCAGAGGGAGCCCGGGCACAAAGGCGGGAGCTGGTCTACAGCCAGGCCCCGACCACCCGGCCTCCTACATTGAATAACTGGAGAGCCTCGGCTAACTGTATGGCTACCCACACTCTCTCTGGCTTGCTCAGCTGTCGCCTGCCGGCCCCCACGCACAACGCCCTGTCCCGCCCCGCTCCTTGTCCAGCTGTCCATTCTGCCGGACCTCCTCAGCGCACACCTGGTTCTGCATTCTTAGGTCTGGTCTCAAACGCTGCCCGCTGACCCGTTTTGCCCCTTTGCTGTTCTCTTCACGGGCATCACAGCTGACACCGGTATGCACCTGCCTGCTCTCAGGCTCAGCCCAGGAGGGGAGGCGCTTTGCTTGCTCTGGTCATTCGATTCTCAACACGAACTACGAAAAAAGAAATTTATCTTTGAAAATGATCCTGCATTTCTGTACGGAAAAGAAAAGAAATTTGATATCTACCACTAATTGTGTACCAAGATCAGTTTGAGAAAGACCAGAGATCTAGAAATAAATGCTACTGAAGGTTCTAAATATTTTTATGCATCCACAAAGCACTTGGAATATTGCTCCTCATCACTAGTTAACAGTGAAATACTAAATAAAATCATGGTGAAATCTATTTACATACACTTCAAAATACATCAGATTCAAACACTGACAACACTAAATGTTGTTGAGATTGTGGAGCAACTGAAACTCTGGCACACTGCTGATGAGGATTAAAATCATGCAACTGCATTTTAAAAACCACCGGTTTTTTTTTTTTTTATGAAGTTAAAGATATTGTCTTGATTACTTTTCTCTCTTTGCTAAGACAAAATACCCCCAACACCCAAAATTAAGAAAGGAAGCGTTTGTTTAGCTCACAGTTTGTGAAGGTTCCAGTCCGTCGCCAGCTGGCTGCAAGGCAGGGCGGTGTGGAAGGTGGCAGAAGACCCAAACGCAGCCAGAGCAAGCGGGCAGAGCTCTCACCCCAGCTTAGCGCCCTCCTCCGGCGGGGAGGATCCTGGTCCCTGCTGAGTCATTTAAACTGCTAAACTTCACAAGTTCATACAATGTATCAACCATTACAAATATGCTTATTTTATGAGCAATTCTGCTTCATAATAACACATATTATAATATATAATTTATAGTATATAATATTAAGAACATAGAAACATGTCCTTTCTCTTTTTATATATGACAAATAAAAACACATCCACAGGGTTTTGTATAAAAATGTTCACAAAAAAATCGGGGCTGGGGATAAGCCCCTGCCTTGCAAGCGCGTGGTCATGAGTTCAATCCCTGGTACCCATTTAAAAAAATGAAAAATGTTCATAGTAATTTTACATGTATGCAGAAAAATATGTAGACAACACAAATGCCTATCAGTAGGATAACGAAGAAGCAAACCATGGGACATTCATAGAAGGGATGCTACTCACCCTGGAAAGGATTCATGTACCGATACACTCAACCACGCGGATGACTCGGTAAGCATTGCACCGAGCTAAAACAGCTTCCTAAAAAGTGCACTTCCTGTCTAGTTCTATGCATATAAAGCACAAAATGGGCCAAACTGATCTCTGGTGATAAAGAGGTGCTCAGGGGGAGAGAGGGCGAAGAGGAGGGGCTGAGGGGGAAAGACGGTACAGAGTTCCAGCTGGAGCGCAGCAGTGAGCTCTGCGTCTGCGGCATGCAGGTGACCAGGATCACGGTCCTGTAACACAGGTTTCAGAACTACCAGAAGACAGTGCTCCGAATATAAGATGGTGAGTATGCCAAGTTCCCTGGTATCCTCATGTAACAATGCATACACCACATCTAAGGAGCAGAACGCCCCAACCCTTTCTTCACTTTTTGTGTTTGTTTAGTTTGTCAGTCTCCCTAAACCAGTACGTAGCCTTCGATGGGCTGGAACTTGTGATCCTGCTACCTCAGCCTCCCAGAGTGCTGGGGTTGTAGCTGTGTACCGCACCTGGCTTCTATTCCTCTTTTTAAAGAGGGAGAAAGTTGCCCTTTCTCTTTCCAAGGCTAGAAATTTAAAATCAAATTCAAATACACCTTTAAACCAAGGCATGGATATGGTTACAGTAAGGGAGCAGGGAGAGAGATTGTTCACTGTAAATACTGCTTCTGCCCAGCCTCATAGCAGTAATTATGGTGTCCACAACAACTCTAAGGAATATACTATTTACTGTTTTCTGTTTCTAGAACAACTGATTGCAATCAAGGTGCAGACTACCCTAATTCTTAACTCAACCTCATCTTCCGACACTGTGGGTTAGCATTCACAGTTATTACCAGGCAGTCAGGATTGCAGGACTTATCGAGGAAAGGCTATGTTACATGCTATGCCCTGAAAATTGGTACACTGTGTGTCTGTTTGACATGATAGACCTAATTAATGAGCCAGAGCATGCTGTTTCCACCCTGATGCAAAGCCAAGCTCACTGCACGCAGTGTGTTGGGAAGCTGAAGGTGGAGATGTTCTTGTGTCCGAGTGTTTATGACTACTTTTTCTCTGGGGAACTCTATTGATTGAAGCGGAGTATATCTGTAATAGCCACGGATCCTGCAACTTCTGATAAGCTAATGAATGTGAGGCCTGATAGTCTGGGAATGATCCCAATCAGTGCCATTGATGAAAATAAATCTTCCTCCAAATCCCGGGTGTTGTTTATGGGTTTCTGTTTGCTGCAGCAAAAGAAATAGCAAGGCATGGTGGGGGCATGTGCCTGTAATCTCGGCACCCTTGGGAGGCTGAGGCAGGAGGAGTGTATCAAGCCCAGATTGGGCAATTTACAAGTTAGAAAGAGCTTGTCTTTAAAAATGTTTAAAAAGCGCTGAGAGGGTAGCTCAGTGCAAATGGCCTGGGTTCAAGATGCAGAACCACAGAAAGGAAAGAAAGAAAAAAGCAAAGGTAGTAGCCCAAGGTGGCCTCAAATTTGTGGCAATTCTCCTGCCTCAGCCTCCCAAATGCTGAGATTACTGGCATGTACCACTACTCCCAGTTTAAAAAGTACATTTTGAATAAGATACATTTACCTTGCCAAACAGCGAGTATGACCATTCTTTCATTTATCCACTCATTTGGCAAAATTTTTTTGTGTCTTGTAATTTATCATAAAAACTCTAGTTTCACAAATTTTGCAAATGCGATTACTCTGTATGAGAAAGTGCTTTTAGATGTAATAGCTGTTCCAGGACATTTAGAAGGATCCATGACACAGTCCATACATGATGAGGACACTATCTTCCACTTAGATCTAACTCGGTGGAAAATCTGAGAATAAAGGCTAGTTTAGCGAACTTGGATCAGCCTAGCAGCAGGCCGCCTCTAGGTGACGCCAGAACGCAGCGGATTTATACGACGGCCAAGCAAACTGATTTTCTGATATAAACTGCATAGAAAGCTGCTGCCTACAGAAAAAAAATGACTTGTAATTTCTCGTCTTTGCGCTATTTCCACTATATTTTAAAGTAACGTTTTATATATTCAATAATAGATCTCTTTGGCAAAATTCGAAGAGCTGGGAATTAAGCCTGCGAACCCTCCTGGACAGTGACCGCCGTGCGCTCAGCCGGTCACGCCGTGTCTCTCGGTCCGGGCTCAGTCCTCCGTCCTCCTGTGCATCTCCCCAGGCCCTGGAGAAACACAGTAAGCACCCAACAAGCCTTGATGAGCTGCTCGACCGCACGGAGAAGGGCAGCACCGTCTGCAGCTGAAAAACCAGGCGCTCTGGGCTCTGGACATCACTGCAGTGACACACCGGAACTTAATGAGTTTGAAATACGTCGACGGGATCGTCTACTTTAAAATGCCCTTGGGTCGGTGATGCTGTTCTGTTTTACCCTAAAATGCCATTTCATCGCAATAACGTTTCCCCAGCACGGCTAGGAGCCCCCTTCCCAGGGAGGCCCAGAATCCAGATGCTACGCCCTGTCGGGTGCAGGGTCCACCCCGGCCGCACCTGTGAGAGCAGAACCTCAGCCCGTAGGTCTGGATGGATGAATAAGCGGAAGAAGATCCAAAATGTAACCTCGAATTAGGAGGCTTAAGTCTTTAAGCCAGTTGCCAGGCGTCTTCCTGTGTGAACTGTGGTAGGTTCTAATCCGTTTATTTACATTTCCAAGATTTTTCTTGCATTATGCAATGCGTCTCTCCTTGTGGATCCCATTTGTCCAAAAGCTACACACAGTATTCTCAGGCATTTTGTATCCTTTCAGTGAGTCAACTAATTCATGAGACTTCAGAATAATTTGGATTTACTTCTTTAGAGATTAATTAATTACTATGGAACATTAGAATGCGTCATCGAATTTCAGTTTTATGAATTATGCAACATGTAAATCACACCGTATATGAAATTACACTTAAACATTATCTGACCATGTACGTTTAAAAGAACCCATAGCATATTCCTTGATCTTGGAGCTCATTAAATCCCTAAGGGGTGATGTGCTCCTGATCATCCAGGGAGGTGAAGGGTGTGTAGCTAATCATTTAAAAATTATGAATCAGATTCTAGCTCGCTTTTGTTGAGCTGTTCTTCCTATAGCAATTTTGATTTTTCCTGTATTCAGCAACCTCAGCTACTTTTAAATACTAAGGATTTATCCTCTGAAATAGGACTTCAGAAACCCTGGTGACCACCTGCACCTCATGGTCCCATGGGTTCAAAGATGGATGAATAAATCTGCTCTGAAATTTGGGTGGGAACCCCAGCATGGGGTCCTTATACATCAAATCTCATAGGCCAGGCCATCAGACAGTAGGGATGCTTCCCACAGTTGGCACAATGAATTCAAGGAAGGAAGAAACCAGCCGAGCCATCGTTCCTTCAAATACAGCAACATACACTTGTACACTGAAGAATGGAGTTTCACCGGGGCAGAATCATATAAAAGCATCTATAAAATATATTCCCAAACGTCCCTCTGGTTTAACTCAATGCTTTAATGTTAATTTCCAGTCTTTCATTATTGTTATACAAATATATTTATCATATTATAGCTAATGCATGGTCTTGGCTTTGGCTTTAAAGCAAAAAAACATTCCTGCTGTTACTAAATCCTGCTCAAAATGAGGATAGCGCGTGGGCCTTTTCACGGCACATTTCCTGGGATCATGGTGCTGCTGCCCAGCAGCCGCACACACAGCAGAATAGCAAGGGCTGAGGAAGCAGGTCACAGCGCGCACCGAGGCCTCTCTGCAGTCTCTCCTGAGATGTTTGTGAGTTGGCCGTTTGAGTCCTGGAGCCTGCACTTCCTAACTTTGGGTTTCCTGCCCTCTTGCACTGTCTGTGAGCTGCATCCCTCCCTCCAGCTTCCCTGCCTTTCCCTGCCCTTCTGCTAGGAATGAAGCAGACACAGATAAGGGACCCTGAGCT